TTCTTTCTTCTGCTTGAGCTAGTCTGTTGTTGGAGCTCTAAATTATATTTTTTGTTTCATTCATTGAATTCTTCAGTTCCAAGACTGGCTTGGTTTTTTTTTTAATTATCTCTATCTTTTTGTTGAATTTCTCATTGAGACCATGAATTATTTTCCTGATTTCTTTATTTTATTTATCTATATTCTTTTATATCTTACTGAGGTTCTTTAATATCATTATTATGAATTATTTTCCAGGCATTTCATAGTTTTCTTTTTCATTGGAATCTGTTGGTGGAGAATTATTGTGTTCCTGTGTAAGTGTCATATTTCCTTGCTTTTTCATATTTCTTGTGTTCTTATATTGATATCTGCACATCTGGTATAATAGTCACTTTTTCTGATTTTACAGATTGGCTTTTGTAGTAGGGAAAGACTTTTCTAAAGATGTTTCTATAGTGTTGATTTGGTAGGGCCCTTTGGTTTTGATTATGGGTAGGTGCAGTAGTATAGTCTCTGTATATTTCCTTGGTTATAATCAGTGTTAGTGGTGTCTGTGAGATCCTCGGTGGCTCAGGCTGTAGTTGTTAATAGAGGCTCTAGTGAAGCTTTGGTGGGGACAGGATGCCAGGTGGGCTAATCCTCAGGCACCGGTGGTGGTGGTGGTGGGCTGGGCGTGCTGGTCCTTGAGCCTCCAGGCAGTGTACTTGGGCATCAATGGTAGCAGGTCCATGTAGGCCAATCCCCAGGTCCCTGGATAATGTGCACGGGTACTGGTGGTGGCAGGCAGGGTGGACTCATCCTCAGGCCCTCCAGTGGTGTACATAGGCACAGGGATGGTTCGTGGGATGAATTGATTCCCAGGCCCCTGGATGGCATGCTGGGGTGGCGGTTGTTGTTGGTCGTGGGGGGAGTAGGCCTGTGCTCTGGGCCCCAAAAGGCGTGCGTGGGTGCCTGTGGTGGTGGGCAGGGCGAGTCAATTCCCAGCCCCCTTGATGATGTATACAGGCAGTAACTTCAGGCAGGGACGGGCCTGTTGTCATTCTCCCCCAGTGGTACATGTGGGTGCCAGTGGGTAGGGTGGGTTGATCCCTAGACCCTTGGCAGTACACTAAGTTGCTGGTGGCAGTGGTGGTGGCAACAGGTTGGGCAGACTTGTCCTCAGTCCTCCAAGAGGTGTGCATTGGCACTGGTAGTGGTGGCAGGCAGGCGGGTCATTCCTTGGGCTCCCCCTGGTGGTTTGTGTGGGTGCCAGCAGCAGCAGGCAGGGCGGGCCTAATGTAGCATATTTTTATTTTTTTGTCTGTAGGGAATAAGTGGCATGTGACTTCAAAACATTTTGATTTCCTTTTGATACAGAAGCACTAAGGATTAAACAAACAAAAAAAACAGAAAGTGAGAAGCCAAATGATCCATGCCTTGTTGACTTCATGCTATCTCCCACATCCTTTTTTCCCTTCTGCAAATAGGCATCAGGGCAATCATATCATAGTAAGTCAGGAAATATTTTGTAGACTTGTTTTCAAGACCAAACTACTAGGTTTTAAGAGTTTTAAAACCCTCTATTTTGGGAAGTTAATTTCAGGAAGTTGAATGGTTTTGTGGAAGCTAGTTACACATATGAAAGAATGCTTAGATTTCATTTATGCCTTATATAAATAGCAAGACGGACCACTGGTAAAAAGCCTAAAATGTTTGTGCTTCATAACTCAAAATTATTTGCTCTTGAGTCATTTGCAAACACTTTCCCTTGATCTGTAATGGACAGATCAGATCAGATCAAATTCTAAACTTCTCACCTTTATTTTTGCTCTTTCAGATGATTCTTAGCCATAAAAAAGAAAAAAATATACGTGAGTCTTACAATATGAAAGTTTCACATTGGCTATATAGGAAGTATTTATTGCCCCAGTAGACTCTAAATAGAATATAATGCAAATCACAAATGTAAGCCACATGTATAATTTTGAATTTTCTAGTAATATTAGAAAAGTAAAAAGAAACAGGTGAAATTAATGATATATTTTAATCTAATATGTTCACAATATCATTTCAACATATAAGCAACATAAGAAATTAATGAGATATTTTATCTACGTTCTTTTTTTGTATTAAGTCTTTGAAATCTGGTGTGTATTTTATACTTACAGCATGTCTCAATTTGGGCTAGCCACATTTCAAGTATTCCATAGCCACATGTGACAGGCAGAGCTACTATACTGAACAATCCAGGTCTGCTGCAAAGGTATCTACATAATCAGTACATCATATTTTAGAGCTTTTCCTGACAGCTCTCCATACCACCATGTCTAATCCCTCTGTTGTCAGTGGTCCTACTTCCCCATTCCCCTTCACAGTATTGCTCTGGTTCTCACTTCGATCTTTATACCATATTATCCTCTTTGACATTTCCCCTTTTTATGCCACATATTCCTCTCTCCTTCTCTTTGTCAAGTTTTCTTGCATGTTTTGCTGAGATTCTCAGGAGAGAAATTGCCATTAACAATATGGCCACTTACTTCCACAGGAACATGTAGAAATGTAAGCCGCTCCCAGCAATATCAGTACTTTGGGGAAATGAAAAGAAGTTCTTCCTCCTCTTAGGAAAAGTTACGAATCTCCAGTAGATAATAGTGGAGTGCGTGAGTTACAGGAAAATCTGGCCAGAAGTATGTAACTTCATGTTCCATGAAATGTAAAATAAGAATTATGTTTTTTGCTGTTATCAACACTTTGTTTTTAATCAATATAAGCCCAAATGGTTAATAATTACCTCAGAAATGAGATATAAGTGTACAAGTTCAATTTAACTGACCAGGTTAGATAGAGCAAGGAAGCATAATCAAATTTTCATGGTAGACCATTCCTGTCTTTTCCTTCCTTTTTATAATCAGTTCTTCTGATTTATATTTCTAAAATATTTTGTAGCTTGTGTTGTATCTCTCACAGTGCCCGATTTATAAATTTATAAACATACAGGTCTTTGGTTTTTGCAGAGTAACTAAAAAAGTCATTGCCAGCAATCACAAAATGAAGGAAACAATTCCATTTATAATAGCATCAAAAAGAATAAAATATTTAGGAATAAATTTAACAAAAGAAATGTAAAACATACTCTGAAAACTAAAACACTATGGGAAGAAATTAAAGGAGACCTAGATAAATGGAAAGACATCCTATGTTCATCTGTGGAGAACTTAATATTGTTAAAATACTCCCCAAGGTGATTTATATATTAAATGCAATTCCTGCTGCCTGTTTTATTTTGTAGAAATAGACAAACTGATCCTCAAATTCTAGTGGAAATGCAGGGTGCCCTAAAAAGCCAAAGTTATTTTGAAAAAGAACAAAGTTCAGGGACTTGACTTTCATGATTTCAAAACTTACTGTAAAGCTACAGCCATCAAAACAGTGTGGCACCTGCATAAGGATTGATTTGCAAGTTATTGCAGACTCCTTGTCTCTGGGACTCTGATTTATTCTGAATTGTTAACATTAGCCTACTTTAAACTTTTAGGCATTTGCTGAAAGTTTAGCTGATATTTTCATGCCATTTTGTGTTATGGTCACTTATTCACATGGTCTACCAAAGGTGAAACAGTTTATGTATTCCATTTGTCTTTGGGAGAGACTTGTCATTCTATGGATTTTAGTTCGGTGGTTGTATTGCAAACTCAGCTGTCTGGTGAACTCCAGAAAAGTTAAGATTTTATAGATCAGCTGTTTTTTTCTTTTGTTTTGGTGGGAGGAACATTCTCTTCTTCTTTCTACATCCTAATCAGAGTAGAACTAGTATGGTGCTTGGCATATAGTAGATTTAGCATTCAGTTAAAATTTGTTTAAAGTAGGTTGAATTCATTGAATACTTACGTGCCAAGCAGTATGCTAAGCACTTATGACATCATCTCATTTAATTCATATACCTGTCTGTGAGGTATAGATACTATTATTATTTCTGTTTTTTAGTTGTAAAACTGATGCTTAGTGAAGAAAAGGAACTAGAAGCACAGGAATAAATAAAATTTTTTACTGATGTTACATATGTCACCTTCCCTCCTCAATAAAACTCTTATATCCATTTTTTACTTCCTTAAGGAGATATATCCTTGGCATTGCAAATTCTCATTTTCCTCGTTTCATGGGAAAAGAGGCATATTATAAAAGAGGGACCTAGTTGGACTTTTAATTAACAGAGAGAGAGAGGGAGAAAGAAGGAAAGATACTCTAAGGATCTGGTAGCTTTAGGTGGTGAGTAGTAGCATCTAGGTTTCGTAATAGGTGAATGACAAAATGACTGTCATAGCTTTGCTGCTACTTTCCACTTTCCTCTTTCCTTTCTCCTGCTTCCAGTGTGAAGTAGTTAATAGCCTTCAGTTAATTGCCTTTTTTATAGGATGGTAGAATTTTAAGTATTTTTCATTACTTCCTTTATTCCTTTACTGGCCTACCATATGGGAATCCTGTAAGATAGCTGTCATGGTAGGGACCTTAAGTATAATTACTTGTGCCACTTTACATTTGTCTTAAAAAAGTCTAAGCTGTCTTCTCACCCTTTAATACAGTTAACAAAAAATGAAATTAAGAAAGTTTTTTGATTTTTGTTTAAATTTTGCTTTGTTTTTTTCACTTCCAGGAAAGAAACTGATATGAGGCTGATCAATAAGCTCAATTAAAACAAATAGTATTAATTCATCTCTTCAGCTATTGTCTGAGATTCATTTCCATGATGTGCCATTTGAAACTCACCACGTTAATCACCCTATTTTTTCTCACATGCTGGTTAATAGATGCAAGTTAAGTTTCATACATTGCCTGTCTGCTGAGATCTCAACACCTGTTCACGTATTCCACGTGTATAACATAAACTAGGTGATATCCATGAACAGAATTAATACAAAGACAATGCCAAAGGTTAAGGAATGGGAACATGGAGACAGGGAGGAGGATTGTTTATATATGGAATAATATTTATAATGCTCAGATTTGATGTAACAATCACTTACATGCTTCGTCCTCCCCAGTTTTCAGGGAATATAAAGAACAGAGAAAACATCCAGGAACCTAGATTTGATTATTACAACCAGGACGTCCCTGATATTGACCTCAGTGACTGTGAATTTCCACATGTCATTGAAATTTATGACTTCCCGCAAGAATTTCGTACTGAAGACCTTCTGCGAGTTTTCTGCAGTTATCAGTAAGTATGCAAATGGTTGTGGGTGTTAGGGAAGGTAGGATGAAGTTTTTAAAAAATGTTTTTTGAAAAATCATCTCTTGTTTTTTGTATTTCCTGTTGTTTAGTTTAGCATCGGCTTGATTTATTGTCTTTCTAGGTCCATTAGAAATCTTCTGTATCAAAATTAGCCTTTTAAGTTCCTTAAAAATGCCAGATAGCCTTTCTAGACCCCATTTTAGTATTTAAGAAGATTGTCATCAGTAATGACTTCATGGTACATTTAGTCTATTTATATTTATTGTGTTATAATTATTGCTATATTTGGATGTATTGTTAGATTTCCTGTCATCTTTTTGTGTGTTTACCTGTCCCATCCTTTTCTCTCTTGCCACCTTATAGATTGATTAGGTATTTTTTTCTTATATTTTTTTTGGAAAATGATAGTTTCTATTATTTGGTAGTTACTCTAGAAATCACAGAATGCATTAACTTATTAATGTCTAAAGTTAGTATTGTTACCCTCTTTTTAAACACTATTGGGGCTTTTAATTTTATTCCCCATCTCTCCCTCCCCCAACTTACATGCTGTTGTGACTGTTCGATTCTGTTTTGTTTTTTATCTTTTTCCTTTTAAACTCCATTTGATGTTATGGTTTTTCTATATTCAGTGTTGAGATTTATCCACTTTATACCTTTTTGCATCTCATACCTTCCATCTGAAATCAGTTTTACCCTGCATGCAAGCATATTCTTTAGCATTTAACTTAGTGACAGTCTGCTAGTAACAAACTTAGGTTTTGGGCTTTTTTTTTTAAGTGACTATTTTAGTTTCATTCTTGAAAGACATTTTTGCTGGATATAAAGTTCTAGGTTGGCAGTTATTTTTCTCTTACAAATGTGATATTATTCTACTGTCTTCTGGCTTTCTCTGTGGATGAGAAGCCAGCTGACAGTTTAACAGCTGTCGCTTTTTTTTTTTTTTTTTTTTTTTAGACAGAGTCTCACTCTGTTGCCCAGGCTAGAGTGCTGTGGCATCAGCCTAGCTCACAACAACCTCAAACTCCTGGACTCAAGGGATCCTTGGGCCTTGGCCTCCGGAGTAGCTGGGACTACAGGCACGTGTCACCACTCCTCTAATTTTTTCTATTTTTTGTAGAGATGGGATCTTGCTCTTGCTCAGGCTGGTCTTGAACTCCTAAGCTCAAACGATCCTCCCACCTTGGTCCCCCAGAATGCTAGGATTACAGGTGTGAGCCACTGCGCCCAGCCAGCTGTCACTTTTGAATATATTCTTTTCTCTTTGGATATTCTTAAGTATTTCTCTTTGTCCTTGGTATTTTCACTGTGGTGTGGTTTTATGTGATGTGGGCTTTATGGATTTCTTTTTTCAAAATTCTGATTGAGATTATTTGGGTTTATGAAATCTGTGGATTTTGGAGAACTCTCACACATTATCTCTTTAAAATTCCCTCTGCTACAGTCTCTCTTTCACCTCCTTTAAGATATCTGTTCCATGTGTATTAGACCTTCTCATTTAGTCCTCATGGTATCCGTCTTCTCATGAATTCCATCTATTTTTCTCTGTTACATTCTGAATAATTTCTTTAGCTATGGTTTCCAAATCACTCATGTTTTTCTTCAGCTGTGGTTAAATGCTGTTAAAATTTCATTTTAAAATTTCATTTTATTATGTTTTTTATTTTTCAAAGTTCTCTTTGTTTCTTTCTCACATTTGCATGGTCATTTTTTACAGTTTGTTTTCTCAAACATTTTCAAGATTTTTAAAAATATTTCTTTAAGTATATTAAACGTAGACCTTCTGTTAATAGTCTCTGGTAATTCCTTTACCCAAACTCCTTTTAGTTCTGTTTCTGGTATTTTTGTTTGTTTCTGTAAATTCTTGCTTACAGTTTTTTGCTTTTGGGGGGGGATTTAGTTATTTTTTACTGTGAGGTATGGTTTTCCTTGGAATTTTGTTTATGGGAATTGAGGCCTACACTGAAAGAGTTTTTCCTGAGAGGGTATATAACAGTCTAGGAGTACTCTAACTTAAATGATTGATTTGAGGGTTTTCTGGCCACTCAGAAATAGTCTAATGGAGAATGATTTAAAAAATTATTATATGTCTCAACTATTTTATTTAAACACACATAAATGTCTATTGACTTGCCAGTCTTCTGATATGGTGCCAAGCTCCCTCCCCCACACACTTTTTTTCTTAAGTTATTGGTGTATTGATAGAAGAGTTATTGTAAGTCACCCTTCTGATACCTCATCTACGATTCAGTGTCATTTCTTTAAAGTAGAGCAAGAATTTTAACATACCTTCAGAGTCAACTCAGTACACATTCCTTATAGGCTAAAATGTTTTCTCTGTCATTTATAGGTGTTTTGCCCAAACATAATTGATAATTTTTTTTTTTGGCGCTTTTTTTGGTGACTTTATCTTTCTCTAGTCTTCCAAAGCATTTGACCTAAGTTTTTGTTTGTTGGTTGGTTTATTTGTTTCATTTTTGAGACAGGGTCTGATTCTGTTGCTTGGGCTAGAGTGCAGTGGTATCATCATAGCTCACTGCAACCTCAAACTCCTAGATTCAGGTGATCCTCCTGCCTCAGCCTCCCGAGTAGTTGGGACTACAGGTGTGTACCACCATGGTTGGCTGATTTTTCTTATTTTTTGTAGAGATGGGAGTCTTGCTAAGTTGCCCAGGCTGATCTTGAACTTCTGGCCTCAAACAATCCTCCCGTCTCGGCCTCCCAAAGTGCTAGTATTACAGGCATGAGCCCCTGCACTTGGCCTTGACTAAGTTTTTATAGAAATAACTACTCTTTTTTATACTCATATTTTGTTGGTTTAATTTTATTTAATTAAATTATATAGTCAAAATATCAAGTCGAACTGATTCAAGTGGGGTTCAGAACAATTGTACTAACTTTTGGCATGTATATAGTTGATACGTATATAGGAAAAGGTAAAAGAATCAGAAGTATACCTCTGTATTTCTAGCTTCAGGAATAAAGAAATAATCCAGAAATGAAGTTAGTAATAAAAAGATTTTCAGGGTCTGGAAGAAAGTCAGTATCATAAAGGATTTATTATATTTCAATCCTGATATTACAAATGAGCCAGGTCTGTTGTGTGATGTAACAAATTTAAATTTAAAATTCAATTCATGTACATCTCCAATTTGTAAGGTTCTATATCAGTTAGGGTATAGCCCCTAACTTTTTCTTAAAGGACCAGATAGTAAATATTTTAGAAAACTCTGCTATTGTTACACAGTAGCAGCCATAGACAATAAATAAATGAATGTGGCTGTAAAATAAAACTTCATTTATAAAAACAGGTGTTCTGTTTTTATATAAAGTTCTAGAACAAACAAAACTAGCTAGCAGCTATGTACTTGTTAATCAGTTAAACTTGATTGAGGGCAAGTATCAGTTCTATAACAGAAAGAAAGAAGGGGTGAATGGATCCTAGAGGACAGTTAATCTCTTGTCTGCCATAAACTTTAAATATATAGTGTAGGTCATTCAGTCTAATTCATTACAGTTAAAACCCAGTATCAGGCCTATTCAATATAAAGTTCATAATAGATTTTTAAGAGCAATCAATGAGATTAAATCCCAAATTAGAACTACCTTAGATTGTCATTAATAATAACAATTCTTACAATCAAGGATCATTTTGTTGATGTCTAGAATTTTTTGAATATTAGTTAATACTTACGAATTATTTACTTCTCTTTGTTTCTTCCTACTCTTACCTGCAAGATCATTTTTCTGTCAAATTCAAAAACATTCTCAAAAGAGAAGAATTTTAAAGGACTATGAAATTCTGAAGTCTAAAAGACCCTCCCAAACCCAGCTAGGTTTTTCCCCATCCTTTTTGTACGTAGACTTCTACTATTGAACTTTTTCACAGTCTCCAACCCTGTAGTTACTTCATCTCATGGTCACATTTGCCCTTATATTCAGGAAACTCTCTAACCTTCAAAGCCTACTTTATTCCTTTTTCCTTGAAAGGAATTTTTTTCTTGAATGATCATTAAAGAGGAGATATTTTAGCAGTTGTCTTTTTTCTTTATAGTGAGTTGTAAAAAAAAAAAAAAAAAGGCCCTGGTGCAAAAGCCTAATAATGCCTGTGAGTCAAATACCAGAGTCAACTTCATATTTTAATCTTTATCTGTATTAATACTCTTAATATGATAAAAATACTGAGCACCATTCATTTATTAAATGCTCACCAAGTGCTCAACACCGTGTTCTTGGACTTGTCATGAATGATCTCATTTCCTTTTTCACAACAACTTGAGGTCAAAAGAGGTTAAGCCTGCCCAAAGTTTCAAGGTAGCAGAAGCTAGAGTGCCGTGGTGTCAGCCTAGCTCACTGCAACCTCAAACTCCCGGGCTCAAGTGATCATCCTGCTTCAGCATCCCAAGTAGCTGGGACTACAGGCATGAACCATGGACATGTGGCTAATTTTTCTATTTTTAGTAGAGATGGGATCTCACTCTTGCTCAGGCTGGTCTTGAACTCCTGAGCTCAACCAATCCTCCCACCTCAGCCTCACATAGTGCTAGGATTGCAGGCGTGAGCCACCGTGCCTGGAAAGTAACAGAATCTTGAGTCCATTTATATCTGACCCTCAAACTTTTGCTCTTTCCACTGAACTATATTGAGTCCATGAACAAGTTTTAACCTTGTAGCTGGAAAGTATAACTGTTATGTCATCATCCTGATTGTCCTTATGCTCACTATGTAGCTCTGCTCCAAAATAAAAGTGTTTTTCCGGTACTTAAATGTTCATTCTTTTGATTCTTTCTAATCTGGTCTGATATTTCTCTTATCATGATTTCTTCTATCCTAAGTTTTTCTGACTTTGCCACAATTCTTTTCTGTTCTCCCCCCTTTTTTTAACCTCCCCTCTGCAATAAGAAAGAATAGATCAGCCTTTCTGATTTTATTAATAGTTGTCCTTTTTTCCCATTACTTGACTTTTTAAAAATTTCAATGACATCTTACAATCTCTGTCTCTCTCCCTCTCTGTCTCTCTCTCTCTCCTCAAGGACAGAGTTTACATTTGCATTAAATCCAGGTGACCTTGTCTGCTTACCTCTCCCTCTTATATTCTTCTACCCCTCCTCTGCTTCCTCTTTCCATCTCTTCTTGTTCCCTGCCCATAAGAACATCTCTTGTAAATAGTGCATTAAATACTTTATCTCCCCAAGGGACTTGTGAGGATTAATTAGTTGATGTCTATAAAATGGCTGGGAATGTAAAACACTCCTGGGTAGTTCTTTATGGTGGTATTATTGCTTTTAAAATTCAGTGGCTTCTTATGTCCTCCAAGCTGTTTTTTGTGTCATTATCCCCATTCCACCTGTGCGCTCGTTCAGTGTTTCTGTATCTCATGAAATACTTCATGAGATTCTATTTGAAAGGTGTTTCATAAAAGTAAATTTTATCTTAGGAAATAAAATTGTTTTCTTTTGTTGCAGAAAGAAAGGATTTGATATTAAATGGGTGGATGATACACATGCACTAGGAGTATTTTCCAGTCCAATTACAGGTATTCACCCAATAGATTTCAGTGTCCCTTTCTTATTGTCCATTTTCTCATGCTATTTTTTCCTATTTCCCTTCTGTTCCAGCCAGTTGGCATTTTATTCAGCCAGTGTAGGTAATAGGACAGATGCAGGTTTTTGAGGCATGGTACTTTTGTACCCAGGTGCTTCTCTCCCTTTTCACCTTATCTCAATGGTATTTGAAGAGATAGTCAACTCCTTCCACCATTATTTGCACACATAACCGTCAGTCGTGATAGTGCATAAATAGGTTACAGGTAGAGATTTAAGACCAGTGGGACTAAATCTTACAATTTTTGTGATTTTTTTTTTTTTTCTCCCAGACAAATGAATTTGAAGTAGCCCTTTAACCTCTTCAGTAAGAAATTGTAATACCTACTCTCTGAATATATAATTGGGCCTTTTTTTTTTTTTCCAAACATATATCATTGGCCTCATGATAGATCTGATGCAGAGGCAGTCAAAGAAATTAGAGGTGTTGGAACATTGGTTCCTGTCTGAACCACCTAAAGTACAGGTCTGTGAACTTACTCTGTAAAGGGCTAAATAGTAAATATAATATTTTAGGCTTTGGGGCATAAGGTCTCTGTCATTACTTAACTCTGCTATTGTAACAAGAAAGCAGCCACAGATAATACACAGACAAGTGGTCATGGCTCTGTTTTAGTAACATTTTATTTACAAAACCACGTGGCTGGTTGTATTTGATCACATAGCCATAGTTTGCTGATCCTTGATCTAAAATAATCACTGCCAAGTTATTTCCCACAGATTTTTAGATGTTACCCTCTCTTTTGCTTGCTGTAGGAAAAAAAGCATAACATCTAAGAAATACTTTATAAGAATGAGCCCTAAATTTTTCTTTCGCATCATTCCACTTCATGTCTTCTACTTCGTAATGTTTATTCCTCTTTGCAGCTCGTGATGCGCTAGGTATTAAACATACCATGGTGAAGATCCGGCCCTTGTCGCAGGCCACAAGAGCAGCCAAGGCCAAAGCTAGAGCTTATGCTGGTAAGCTCATAATCTCTGGAGTATTTTTCTTATTGATGGTGGTGTTATTGTTCTTTCCAGCAGTTTTACAATATCCAGACTTCTAAAGACATATCATTTTTATTTTTAGTGTAAAAAGAAGTATGTTTTTAAGGAAAAAAAGAAAAGAGAAATGGCCATGTTGGAAATGTGGCATCTGAGTAGCTACTTGGAGAGTGTGAGATACTAACTGCAAGCAATGCAGCAACCAGTTTCCGTTGACATCCCTACCTAGTTTACCTCTGTGTTTAGCAGTTTGATAGAGTCACTGTAAGAAATTGTGTTAATGCAGATAATGAAACCAGGATTTCAGGGTTGTTTGTGCTTTGCCATGTTAATTTCCTCTGATCATCATCTATCAGGCTTGTATTAATTACTGCTGATGCAGCCCTTGTTAGTCTATTTTGTATGTTAATTACTGAGTTAAATCACTTGGAGCTGGAGTGCTTTCTTTTCTTTACTCCCTCCTACTCCCTCCCTTTCTTCCATTCAGAGTTCCTCCAGCCAGCAAAGGAGCGTCCTGAGACTTCAGCAGCCCTAGCCAGAAGGTTAGTCATCAGTGCCCTTGGGGTTCGAAGTAAGCAGAGCAAAACAGAACGGGAAGCTGAGCTCAAGAAACTGCAAGAAGCCCGAGGTGAGTTGAAGGGATAGTGTTCTCTAGTCCCTCTGGAGCTCACTGTAAGGCACGTGTTTAAAAAAAAAAAAAAAAAAAAAATGAAGCCCATTCCATTTTGTCATTTCCATTTCATAGAAGCCCCGCAAGTGTATAGAAATTTTCATGCCTTATAATCAGGAAGAAGACATTTCAGAATTTGTCTGCCTGTTCCACACTCCAAGGCACCCTAATCCTTGCTCCTATTGTTGTTTTCCAAGAGAGGTTTGGCCTTCTCAGCTCATCCATGGCTTTTTCTACAGTTTTTGCTCTAAACTCTGAGAAGAATTTTCCTGTGAAGACATAATAGTCTTCTAGGCAGAAAACATTGCTTGCTGTAGTTTTACTGGGCTGTGATTACCATGATATTGCCATGATGTTATCAAGTAGTTTAGATCTGAGGAAGAAGACAAATTAAGGAAAAGCCAGCAGCTGACATCGATGTTAATAACTGTAGGAGGTATTTTTGTCTTTTTAAGACAATCCTGAGTGGCTCCATTAGAGCACATCTAGATTTACCTGTCTTCTGATTATTTTCCAGGATCCAAGAGCACTCAGAGAAATATTTCCACTGATCCACAAGTAGAGTTTTTCTTTCCTTGTAGTTTGGAGTTGAGGTTAAAATCTATCTCCTCCCTTTATAGGCTGTTGAATTGTATGTAAAGGCTTGGGACTCCAGCTTGGCACTGAAGTACTTTTTATCAACCTTCAGGCTTTAGACAGTCTCATTCCCTTAGCCCACAATCTGTGGAATCTGTGAAGGCAATTTATTCTGAAAATTCTACTTACCGAAAAGTAACTTCATTTTTCCATTAAATGAATTGAAGTTTCAAACTCCTTGTTTATTGCCAGTCTAACAAGGCCATTAATACTTCCTGTCCTCTCTGCTTCGGTGATAGCAGGCAGCTTGCAGACTTTCAGCTGCACTGGTCAGATAACTGTGACAATGTGTGTCATGGCAGGTGCTAGAGTTTCAGGGTTGAACCGAACTAATTTTCAAAACCTTAATGATTATAATGAGGCAGTTTTGATTTTTCCCAATGAATTGTTCACTCAAAGGCTTCTTATAGACTATAGAAACAGAAGAGGATTCCTCTGGCTTTTATAGATGGCGATAACAGAACTAGATTAAAGAAGAATGTGCAATATTGTTAACCCTTTATTAATTGGTTATCTCTGAGGAAAATGATTTCTATGTGATAACCACAGTTATCTCAAAAGATCAATAAAGCATAATAACAATGATATGTATATAAAAGAGATATGACTCCTTTTGCAATGTATCATGCTTCCTTATGGGTGCAATATCACCTGTATCTCTACAGATACTGCAGCAGTTGTTTTACATGGGTATTATTTGAGTATTCCCCTCTCTTTCTCTGGAGGCACATCAGCATGCAGCTCCACTTGAAGTATTTGTTTTAAATGTCTAGGTGTACAAAGGACATTTCACTGATGCCATTATAAATGAGACTGTTGGCTAAGAAGATACCCTACTTTCTAAAGAAGGCCTTTATTTGTGAATAGAGACCCACTGTGATAATTTCCTTCTACCCATTGGTGCTGAGGCTGTATGGATTATAGAGGACTCCTCCTTTATTATGCTCCAGAAGTCTCCCATTCTTCATATCTGACGAGATGCATCTGGAAAATTTCCTGATGTATCTCCTTCTGTCCTTTTTCTGTATTGGGCTCATATTCATGAGCTTGTCTACCTGGAGCCCAACGCTTCTTACTTAAAGATTTGTTTTTTTCCCCTGTGGAAAGTAAAAGCACTGTTTAGGTATTAAGGAGAAGATACTTTTGTTCCAAATCTTTCCTTCTTCCACTGGACAAGGAGAGATCAATACAGCATAGTTGATAGCATTATAGACTCTGGAATCAGACTGCCGGGATCCACATCTGAGCTCTGCCATTTACTGGCTGTGTGACCTTGAGCAAATTACTTACTCTCTGGATTCCTCTGTTTCCTAATACATAAAATGGAAATCAACTGAGATAATCCATGGAAGATACATATTCATCTTCAAAAACCATAGGAACTCTCTTGTTCCTTTTCTCTAAGTGTTAGCTGTTGCTGTTTTTATTAGTGATAGTAGTAGTATCATTATATGATGAATCCAGCACAGATTCCAGTGCATGCTTATTGTCATTACTCTTTATTTTAAAATTCCTATATTCTGTCAACTCCATTTAGCATTCACTGAGCATCTGCCCTGTGTAAAGCATTGTGTTCCCTATTTAGGAGAATCAGAGAGATGGCAAGATTTTGTTCCTCTCCTTAAGACTAACAATCTAGTGGGGATATCTGCCTTGAGTAGGGAAGAAAATATGTACTCTTTTAGATATTTTAAGCAATCATTTTTCCTCTTCAGTTCTAAAGATTTTTAGATTAAAAACCATAAAAAGGTTTTTGTTGTTTAAAAGGGCTGAAAGGAAACTCCAAGCAATCAATGTAACATATGATGGTATTGTGTTATGATAAGGTTATGATGGATGGCATTATCTCAAGTTTAGAGCTGGCCCAGAGAAGTTAAGTAACTGTCCTAAGGTCACCTAGGTGGTAAAATCAGAGGAAGCATTTGAATATAGGCCTCACTAGTTAAAACTATGCTCCTTCTATAATTCTGTAATTCCCCATGAAGGACTGATGGGGTAATTTTTTGTCTCTGAAAAATATATAAATTTTTTTAAAAGTCTCCAGAGAATGAAATATGGCAAGCTTCTTTTTAGTTACCTGTATGAGTGGTTAGCAGCTTTTCACTGTCAGAAAAATCGTCCTTAGGTCTAACTTAAATCTGCATGATAGTTTAAACCAGTTTCCTCTTCTTTTTTTTCTGAGCAGAAATAGTGAACGTCCCAGCACCATTCTGTTCTAACAACCTTTAAATATAAAAATCAAGGGCAGATCATTTAGGAATGAAAGAATCTAGGCTGTAATAGAGCTTTTGCTGTTAACTAGTTGTGTGGCTGTGGCAAGTCAATTATACCTCTCTGTGCCCTAGTTTCCAACTAAGTAAAGGTAATGTTCATCCTACCTAATTATGAAGAATTTTTTGAGCATAACATAAGTTAACATATGTAAAGATGTTTAGAAAGGTGCTTTACAAATTCAGGATATTATTCTTTATGTTGGGAATTTAGTGTTCATTATAATTTGAGCTAGTAATGACAAATATGTATTATATACTGCTGTTCCCTATCGATTGCACATGGCAGATATTGCTAAATCAGTCGTAACATTCTTTCTTGGTGAGTTTTGACATGGCCATTGCCAATTGATCATAATTAAGCAAAGGGATTAAAATCTATATACTACCCTAGTATAGGTACTTTTATTAAAAATATATATTCTTCCAGGCTTTCTTTCTCCCACTTGAAGAGTTCTGCTGTCTGACACAGTGCCTGGGACATAAAAAGATACTCAGTACATGTTCATTGATGGAATACATGAATGGCATTGGTTACTTTAATTTTTCTTCATAAATCTTATTCATGATTCCACTTGAACACTTTCTCAGTGCTCCATGCATGGTTTTCTTTATAAAACCCAGAGTTAGATGTGGCATATGAAACCCTCTTAAATAATGAATTTGGAATTAGTGATTTTGAGTTTTAAATATTTTCCTGCTAGATTTTTCACCATACTTTTGATATTCTTACTTTTTAAATGAAAGGTCTATGCCTTTGTCCTTAAAAAGGAGATTCAGAATTTAAAGCTGTTGGAAGAATTGAGAAGGAAGTACCCCAGACATTTTAAGGAAAGTGCATCATATAGATCAGGAGGAAGAGAGCTTTAGTATGTAGTCACTAAACATGGGGAAAATATCTTTTGATCCAGTAGCATGTATAACAGATTAGATCTACACTAAGAGTGGGAAATGGAATTATAGATCATTCGAGTGCTTTGTATTTCACTTAATCATGTTTTAAACCAGTGATTCATACTGAATGATAAAGCCACATTTTTAAGACCAAACTCATGAATATGTGTAAAAATTTCTCATGTTCCACTTATTCACATACTTGATTTCCACCTAAAATTGGAGATAGCTATCCTTTTCTCTCAGAATAAGCTACCTTATCATTTTCAATGACTGCTATAATTTTATTTTATAATTTATTTCCATTCAACTCTTGGGGGGGTATGTGATTAATTGGTTCTTAAAGGCCATCTTTTGGGTCACAGGCCTGAAAGGCAAGAGTAAGTAAACAATAATCCTAGCTGGATTAATTAAATCACTAACAACTTAAAACCGTCATTATAAGATACCTCATCAACTATAATAAAACAAATTTAATCATAGTTGCTACTTTCTGGAATCCTTTTTAGGCTCTCCATTATTCTGCCTTGAAGGGCAGTGCTGCATTGCTGATTCATAATCTAGGTCTTAGAGTATTTTCTTGGTGTCTTTTCTTCTCTAATGTCTGAAGTTCCCTTCATTTCTAACCACATTTTCTTTTGTTTTAATGTGATACTTTTTTTTCTGAGATGCAGCATTTACCCATTTTTTTAGTATTAAACTTACTTTCTTTGCCTATATCAGAGATGAAAATGTTAACCTAAGACTAACTGATCAGGTCACCAGCTATTGCTAAAATAAACAATACATGGTTCCTTGTGTTGACATTTAATACATTGATAATCGTTCTGCTCTCCAGAGTTAAATTTTCCTTTATATGATCCAAAGTACATTTTTCCAGTATATTGATGATTATATAACTACTTGGTAAACTTAAAATCTAAAACATTGCTAAAATTAAGAGATTACTTAGCTTACTTATCATTGATCAACCAAGTCTGTCACTTCATAAAAGAAGGCAATTATAATAGATTAGTTTGACCAGATGTGTTCTTCACAAAACATCTTGATTATTAGTCTCTAGAGGGCCACAAGTGGATTTTGTGATGAGTTTTTCTCCGGCATAGAAGCAAATTTTGGAAGTCTTTTCATTTACATCTCTTTTCTTTCTTTCTTTTTTTTAAATGTGACATCAAACTGGCCCTTTTTCGATCTTTACTTCTTTCTCTTCCCTTAGTGAGAACTGGTAACTAACTGTACCATGATTTCAGTCAACTTATTTGATAGTCATTGCTGTTGATTTATTTATGGTACTAGAGAATGAAAGTATTCAGGACCAGCTTATATGAATGTTTAGGTTAATTGTTTTGTGCTAAATTTTCTATTCTCCCCTAGTTCTTTGCCCTTATGCTACTGTTGGGCATTCTCTTTACTTATTTTCCTTTTTAATTGTTGGAGATAAAGTTAATAGGACCCTTCTTTCATGAGATTTATCAGTTATTACCTGCTTTCCTATCTCTTTAATAAAAGGAAAAACATGTTTCTTTATCTTTCTGTCAATATATTTTTTTCACATTTTTTCCTTTTCTTTGTAGATATTTTCAGATAATGCTTGTTAAGAATTAAGGACCTGGGCTGGGCATGGTGCTCACGCCTGTAATCCTAGCACTCTGAGAGGCTGAGGCAGGAGGATCGCTTGAGTTCAGTAGTTCAACTCCAGCCTGAGCAAGAGTGAGACCCGTCTCTACAAAAAATAGAAAAACTTAGCCAGGCATCGTGGCACACGCCTGTAGTCCCAGCTACTCAGGAGGCTGAGGCAAGATAATAGCTTGAGCCCAGGAGTTTGAGGTTGCCATGAGCTGGGCTGACGCTGCGGCACTCTAGGCTGGGCAACAGAGCGAGACTCTGTCTCAAAAAAAAAAAAAAGAATTAAGGACCTGGGTTCCCGCTTCAGTCTTTCACTGACTGTGTAACCTTAGGCAAGTCACTTAAGCTCTCAAAACTTCCATTTCCTCGTCTTTAAAATGAAATTATTTTGAAGTCCTATTGTAACCTTATTTCTCTATTCATGTTCTATATTTCTAAATTTATGCCTTATATTTTCACTATTGCTTTGCATCTCAATTTGTCTTCCTACTCTTACTAGTTTTTTCATATGATTTACCATCAGAATTTACTCCTACAGTATTTTGTAAAAAAGCATTAGGGTGGGGAATGCTTCAGAACTCCGAACTTTCAAATTTTAGAAAAGCGATATGGTATTTATAATAATATGTTTCATAACACCAAAATCAAACATTTTAAATATTTCTGTAGCAAAGTGTTTTGACTATTCACATTAAATGGAATTTATGAAGACTATAAACAGCCTCATATCCTTTCAGGTTAGATTTGCCATCATCAATCAGTTTTGGCCCTAAGCTTTAAAAAAAATGAACGTTATTTTCTGAACTGTTTTGATTTTGGAACTGTGGATTATGGGCCAATCATATTTTTCTACTGCTCCTGGATTTCTTTTCTTATAACTTCTTATCTTACCTTTATGATTTAAGTTTCATGCCTTATTGAAAAACTTGAGTTCTAATAATTCACTTTTCTGGTTTCTTCACTTTTGCTTGGAATCTGGAACCAGTTTTTGATTGCTTTCATTGAAGGCTGCCTTTGTCCTTAGACTCCTTCCTAACTTCTTCATGTTTATAAGAATCAAAACTGCACTGCCTTCCAAAGAAATGCTGGAATTCTTTAGACAAGCCAGTTATCCTTTATGCTACCTCCTGGAGAATCCCAGTTCAGTTCAAGCCTGCCGTCATCCCAGGACGCTGTGTTAACCTGCTTTCAGTTTGCAATTTGCTGACCCCCATTTTTTGCCTCATGTAACTTTGCTGCTGTATTCAGATAATGCCACAAGATGGTGCCCAAATAGCAGTGAATTTCTCTTTCTTACATTTCCAAGTGCCAGTCAGCTTCCTAACCAACTTCTTTGCCCTTAAAGTACAGTCAAATAGAGTATGGGAATTTGTAAGGGATTCTGCTGATTAGGAAAGATATGTCAAAATAGCAAGTGTTAACTCTAAATTCACCTTAATTTCTGTAATTCCCCTGGTTCATGACTTGGAAAATCTTTACAGCCACTGTCAATCTGGAACAATAGCCGTTGGAAGGAAGCATTTAAGCTTATCATCAATGATTTAGGCTTTTCACCATTTTGTAGTATTAAGCTAAAGGACCAGCCATGCAGCTAGAACTGGTATTTTGGCACCTAAAGAAGTGCTTGGGCCACTAAACCAGGTATCGTCTGTATTTTCTCAGGTCTTGGTGAAAGTGTTAAATGGAGAGCCAAGCTTCTATGTTAAAACTGAAGATGGATTACCCAGATTAGTACATCTTTTTTGTTGTTGTTTTTAGAAATAGTCATTAGCTTTCCTCCATTATATGTGGTCATTTTTCCATATTGGAATTGTGTATGCCAAAAGATTTCTGGCCTCTGGGAAGTGCTCTGAAAATATTGAAATTTGATTTGCCTCTGAAATACTTTTTCAGTAAGGTTGTAGAGGGGAGATATGATTATCTCAGGGGCTACTATTTCCATTGAGCAACATGGTAGAAGAAGAATATCAATACATATTCTTGATCCCTATTGAAATATTTGTAAAGAGCAGTAAACTGGGAATAATGGGCAATTATATCGACACACTAAACACAGTTAAAAAGTAGAATTAAAATAAATATGTATCAGCAAGACTAGAATCTGGCGTCCTGCTAGATTCTGACTTATTCTGTATACTTTTAATTTTTGTTAGCCCCAGATCTTTCTCTTTCTATTATATAGCAATAAATGTAAAGACTTATGGTAGTATCATTTCTACTTATAATACACTTGGAAAGTTAAAGATATTAACTCTGGGAATCAGGTAAGAGAGCCTGGGCCCCAGGATACCCACTTGTCTCATGATTAAAGTTTGCCTTGTAATTTGGATTAAGGGAAAGTCACTGGTCATGTGAAATATACAACCATGTTTAACAATTTTCTTATTTACAGAGAGAAAACGGTTGGAAGCCAAGCAACGGGAAGACATCTGGGAAGGCAGAGACCAGTCTGCAGTTTGAACATAATGAAAGGGATAATCAGAAAATGTTTCCATAGTCTTCAGATAAGAAGATCCTTGCAGAGCTCTGTGTACATGCAGATATGTATGTTATAGAGAAAAAGAGATCAAGACAAGGACTGACTGGGTATTGAAAGAAGATAGACTCCTGTCTTCACTCCTAAATGCAGTTCTTTGGAATTGCCCTACTGTGGTGGGGATAGCAGGGAGCCATCAGCTAGGAAGAAACACAGAAGATGTGACTTCCAAGAGTCCTCTGGACAGGGCAAGTCATGTTAGCATGGGTCACACTTCCATGATGTTTAAAACAAATACGAAACAGAACAGAGGATTCAAACCTGCAATGATGGGAGATTTAGGCCCTGCAAAGACAGAGCATTCCTTACTACCTGACAAAGTTGAGAGAAGCAGTGTTGGGAGCAGGGGAGGGGGCGGGTAGGGAACAGTTAGTACCAAGAGACAGAACAGTGTCTGGTGTACTTGGTATACACAGAAGCTATACTGCCGGTTCCAGAACTCCAAAGTTGGTGAACTGCAGCAGATGTGGGTATTTAGACTCCAGAGTTTGTACTGAGCTCAGTGCCTGGGGCTCTTCCAGCTGCACCACAGCCAGGGGGCATGCCAGCTTTATTCTTGTTAGGAAGCCAGCCTTTGGGAGCTGTGTGCCAGTTCCAGTTTAAGCAGTTATGCTTAAGAGGGAGACATTAAAGCCCATTTGATGACATACATTGCTCTGTTACTTGTGAATTTTGTCATTCCCACAAAGAAATAGGAGGGTAGCTGTCTTCTTATCTTCATGCCTATAATGCTGTGCATGGGTTAGCTGGATTTGTTGCTTTTATTGAACCCTACTGGGTAGAGAGCCGATCATCTCTCTGCCTCAGAGTATACTACAAAGATGACAATCCTGGGATTGATATGTGGTAGTTCCTTTTCCCTTTCTTGTTCTCCTTGTGCACCCCCACACCAGCCTCTTGCCATCTCTGTCAAATCTGACATCCTGCAGAAGACATCTGGCACACAGCGTGTTCTTGGTATGAGCTTCTCAGCCTGTGCCAGAGGCATTTGGCAAGCAGCACCAGACTATCTGTTACAATGACGAGCAGGCAGGATAAAATAAACACCTTTCGGCAGTAAGAGATTTCCTAAAGGACATGGGCAAGTCAGAGCCATCATCTCATATATACATTCTCAGTGTTTTTAGAAAGTAGTTCTGCACTGAAGAAATGGTAGCACTAGACCTTAAGCTGCTGACTTGGCAAGAAAGTGTCTCATTGTGCTTTCAACTAGGGCAACAGCCTCATTTTTTAATGATTTAGTGCCCATGACAATGATGGATTATTAGCATTGCCTAGAACATGGTGGAATGGGGCTCTGTTCAAATGTTTCTTAAATGACGCTGGCCTTGGGTCTTAGTTCTGAGCCAAATATCCCTCCTGCTATTCAGGTCTTAGAGCCCTCTCATAGTTCCTCAGCATTGTTTTTCTCATTCTTGGTTGGTTTTGCATGCCCCTTATTCATGTTCAGTGACTCCATGCCAAATTTGGGGATTAAATAAGTTGTTCTCTTGACCCTCTGTCCAGTACCCTTCTCTTTGGCTTATAGCTGCAGGACTTGTGCTCTCTGTCTTCACGGAACAGACTTCTCTAAGATAGGCAGGTCTGTTTGAATGGCATGGCTGCATTTGAAAGGAAATGCAGGGAATTGCAGCCACACTTCATACTTAATGGTGTACCTCTGAGCCATACCTTTGCTGTGCTTTGATTCAAGGCCAAGAATAACCTTGGACAGTAAACAAGACATAAATGTTCCTCTCACTTGCCTGTGAGGGTAGTCTCTTTTCTGACTACATTATAGCTTTTAGGGACATTGTTAATGACAACATATGGCCCCATGTTTCTTACCCAGTTTTCTTATAGTTCTCATAATTTCAAGAAGTTACTTTGGTTCTCATTTTAATGCTATAGCCTATCCTTTTTGTTCAGCTAAAAATCAGCCACCTCTAACTTACAGATTAATCCTTACAACCAGACCCAAACAGTTTTTATTTTTGGCCAACACTTAAAACTTAGGAAGTGCAACTGCTTCTACCATTAGTAGAGAATGTGCTTTTTAGTTATATTACTCCAGTAGTGGGATTGATGTATACTAGCTAGAGGTAACAGGTCCTGCCATGGCCCAGCACAGACTATATCAAGCTTGTCTAGATGGGAATCAAATCCTTGGCCATATCTAAACCATGCCTTTGTAAGCTGGGTTAGCTAGAGAGCACCCTGTAGCTGCCACGGGCTCCTTTGTTATTCGGGAAGACAGCTAATATACTCTGCTGTGCATATATGTGCTGAACATCTAAATCCCAGGATCACCTGGGATTTATAATAGGTACATTTCCCATGAGTTCAAATATGCTCTTCATAGAGTGAAAGTCTTTGTAGAATAAAGGTAAATTAGGCTTCTGAAGAGTAAGCTGAGATTCTTAGCACTTTAGTCTCCCTGAGGCTAAACTATTCTGAGGTGAAAGTCTTCTGACATTTTTGGTTCTTTCTGGAATTTGTTGGTTGGTATTCTGTTAACATTCCTCATCTAGTTATAAGTCATGCCAGCCACCAGTCTTCCCATGTCCTGCCCTTTCAACTCAGAGGTATAACAGTGCAACCCTTGTATAGCTTTTTCCAAGAATTAGAAGTTGCTGCACCTATCAAACGTGTGATGTGGGCAGCAAGACTGAGATCAGAGCCAGTGGCTGTCTGCCTGGCCTGCTTTTTCTGGCTCTCTTGGAAACTAGATCCAGCAAGAAGCTGTGGGTAACCTCCCTGCCTGAATCTAGTCATCAGTCACCACACGCTGCCCTGCGAGCTGCACATTCTTTCACAGACCATTAGCAGCATGTGCGAGTATAATGTTGTTACTGTTTGGGGGTATGTTTGCTGGGTCCAACAGGAAATCAGTCCTTCCCTTGTTTACCTAAACTGCCACGCCAAAATACAATGCTCCCTCTGCCTAATGAAGGAGATGAGGGAGTTGAGAAGAGAGAATGTTGGGGAGAAGGAAGAGAACACTTCTTTGTATTCCTAGAGAGTACCCCAGAACATGTCTTTTTTTATTCCCTAAGGAGGGGATTGTAGCTCTTGTGACGTGGGGAAGGGAGTACTGTTGGAAATCTGCCCCATCTGCTACCATGTATTTTGGCTTTGCAGTCTCAGTTGTAAAAGTTTACAATCCTTGGGTTTTACCTTCTTGCCCCTACCTTTCATCCCTTGCCTTTCTAAGCCACCTTTCAGCACTGAGGTGCAGGGGAGGATAATTGGGAAGGAGACAGTCAGCCAATAGCTGATTAGAGAAATGTAGAGGGGCTGTCATGAATATTATGCATGCCTTGTGCACCCTCGTCCCCAGCTCAGTGGGAGTGAAAAGGGGTAGAATTAGTGTGCTGGGAAGTATACATAAGCACAGCTGGTCTTGTCTTTGTAGCAGTCCATAACCTTTATTGGCATTAGGGTGTCAGACCTGTAAGGATCATCTCTTAAGTGTGTCTCAGTGGAGAAAAGCTCAAGAATCATGTCAAGAAGACCACTGGATTTTATACCGCCTGAGCAAGAGCATATCACAGCCACATCAAGCAGGGATGGTGCTCTTTCCCGGGTTCTATCCTTAACTAAATTGTTCCTCTTCTGCTTTCTTCATAGTTTTCTGTCCCTCATTCCACCAGACCTATCTGCATATTTCTGTAGAGATGAGTGGCTTGTTTGACTGATGTTCTTTCCATTGCAAAAATTTATTCAATGAAAAATTCATTCCAGGCACTTGGTTGAGACTTGGAATTTAGGCCAATCCTGAGATGCATGGTGATCCTGAGAGAGATTGGATTGCCTGCCAGGTAAATGGCACATATGTTTTCCTTGGCTGGGGCTGGGGTCCGTATTACCTCAGCAGTCTTTCTGAGGCCTACTCTCGCTGCTCTGCAGGAAGGCCCTGTCTGTCCACTTCTGTGAAACTTGCCTCTTCTCAAGCACTCAGTAACTGGTGGTGTTGGCTCATCAGGCAATCAGGATGCCTGAGGCCTAAGCTTCCAGGAGAGTCAGAAGCACTCATGTGTGCAATAGGATAAAGGTAAGGACACTGAAGAATGGACTCTTAGCAGAGTGTAAGAGGTGAGTTCTAAATGAAGACAGATGAAGCAAGGGACAGAATTCACCAGCTTCTCTGCCAGTTGTGACTTTGACACAAATTATGTTGCTTTGAGCTCCTAGCAGAGAGCTAACCCCACCTGCTGTGTATTTTGGTCCTCTGTCCTCTACTCCTCCAAGACATCTGCAAGCACCACTTAGATGGGGGACAGGGCCATAGTCCATCCCTAAGGAACCGAGAGCTCCTGAACCCGGGAACTCTGCAGCAAGATCCAGGAAAGATTGGGTCTCCTTATGGAAGAGGAGCTCAGCTGAACAAAGCCTGGAAGCCATGCTCCATAGGCCGCAGGCCCTTATGGGACAGGCCCAGAGCCATTCTGCGAGAGCAATACCATCTGGATTGGTGATCTTGCCATCAAATGGCTTCCTGAGCAGGTTCTTGGTGCCCCTTGGCACTGGCCCCTTTTCCTCTGAGTTAGGGCTCTGTGAAGGGCATGGCTCCAATAAGCTGAGGTATCTGGTGTGTGGACAGCAGCTGGGAGTGTGCAGTGACGGCTTTAGATGAGGTTGTTCCTGAGACGCTGTTCCTGCTCCAGAGAGTGCTCTGCATCAGCTGGGTATGAATCCCCTGTGGGCCAAAGGAAAACAGGTAAGTAGCAACCCTGCCACAGGTTCATCCTCACTGACAACCTCACATAGATCCATTCTGCCCAGCTTGTCCTTCACATCAGGTCAGCCATGGGCAGACACCAGCCATTCCATAGAAATAGACCCTGGACACATCCCAGGTGTGGTTTCAGAGCCATCAGGATATGTAGGATTTTAAGTGGAGAGAGTTGCGCTGGTTATTCTCCTTCGCCCCCTCCTCAGATTCATTGTCTGCCCTTGATTTTCTCTGTGCCCTGGGACACTGACCCCTAGGGATTACATCACTCTGGCTCTCTTGTCCTCTGTTTTCGGGTTGAGTTAGGTCAATGGGAAGCAACAGTAGGAGGTTAGAGGGTGAAAAGTCAGGTACTTCTTCCCCTGCTTCGGTGCTTTGGCCCTGCACTTCTGGCAGTGACAGTCTGACTCCAGCTCCAGCCAGGTTCACCCTCCTCCATGACTCCAACTTTCACCTGGCTCCAGCACAGCCCTCGCTCCTTCAAACCTAAAGCAGGTGATAGCTTTCCACTCCTGTTTACCCATAGATGCCTCAACATCCCTCGCTCCCAAGTCCTATGCACACCTCTATAAATCGTCCTCTCATTAAATAACTTCAGTCTCTCATCCAAGTGTGTCTTCTGTTTTCTGCAGAAACATTGATGGGTCTCTAATCATTGGCAAGAGGACCTACAGAACAGCATTACTTTTCTTTCCCTCATCACTGCCTGGATCCCTTGCAGCTTGGTTCTAACGTTACGGAAGATCTGCTGTCTCCACGTGCGCAGCCTCAGATTCCAGTTCCTGATTCTTCTCATACATATCCCTGTCTCATTTAATGGCAGTGAAATCTACTCGGTCACACAAATTCAAAACCTCAGACTATTCTTCCTCTTTTCATTCTGTCTTCCATCTGTTGGCAGTCATTTTTTGAAAACATAAATGACCTTTTGTTTC